TTGTCATCTGCAGCCATCCACGCAACCTTAGCAGGTGGATTGCAGCCCATCGTTGGTTGATGCAGGTAATAAAAACGGAATTTGTTCATCTACTGTGCAACACATATTGATATTCTGTACTTCCTATCTACTTCTAAGATCTACGTATAGAATGGGCGTTATGGCCGAAACCAGCACGCCTTTGCAGAGGGGTGCAGATTTCGCTAGGTTACTCTGTCTATTATGATTCGACCACTAGCGCGCAATATGAGCAGCTCAGGCAATTAACAAATTCCTTTCCGTGCGCCTGGCGAAGCCAGGCCAGCTCGGCGAAGCCGAGCTGAAAAGAAGGAGGAGAGCTCGGCGTCAGCCGGGCGATCCGACTGGTTGAACATAAAGCTGAAACAGCTACCACTCTCACTAGGGAAGGTAGCCACGCCGAAGTAGCCCTTTAATGAGACGTAGCTCGCGGGACGTGGTTCTGGACGCTGATCTCCAATCTGCCTTTGAAAATTGCAGTACGCTCCCTGAACGGAGTTATTCAGCTTCTTCCCCGCGTCCACACGCAACCCAGAAATCCTTCTATCTAGACCTGTCAGATTCAAGTTTTCAAGAATGCACGAGTCGCGCATAATGAACTGCAATTGTTGTTCCTCAAGGATGATACGATTTTCGACAGAGCTCAACGACTATAACCGTAAAATAGCGCACTCCAATACCGACACGCGACGGAGCTGAAGATGCCCTTGCACTGTTTTCTTTCGAGGGTTGAATGGCTATCTCAGTCTTGTTTTGATTTAGTTGAAAAGAAGGTGTACCGTACTGACATCCCTAGGAGGTGATGGGATTGTCGTTCTGGCAGTCCGGTTTTCTTGGACGCTGTGCTTGACCTTGAACACTTGGGATTCGCCAGCTCTTCTTGCTCAAAATGAACATATTATATCAGTGCTTTCACTTCTTCATTTGTGAAAGGTAAAGGAAGGGTCCGGCCGAGGTAGCTCTGTCAATTAGCTTGCCATTTCTTAGCAGCACAGTTCAGAAGCCTGTCTCACAAGGGGATGTTGAACCTCAGTGTAACGAAGCGAATTTGTGGACGGCATTACACTGGAGCGGTTTCAGTGTAGGAAGCAACAAGTGTGCCGGAGTGAGCTCATCACGTCGTATTCTATATCTATATCACGTACTGTCGACTTGAATGAGGATCTTACATTAGTATAG